ATGTGTATTTAAATGTATTGACTATCTATTTTTTATTTTACACATTTTGCATAATGCATATATTTTGGATACTAATGTTTAAAACTATATGTGTATTGCATATATTGCATATACCATTTTTATAATTCATACTTATTCAATTATTTTGAAGTTAAAACTTACAAAATTTTAACTTCATGATTTATAGTTATGTGGAATGTTAATAATAATAATATACAATCAGTATCAGATGCAGATTATATCAAACTGCTAATAATTAGATATTTGTATTTTACATTAATTCAGTTAAATTAATGTGTATCTCATATATATATTTATTGTTAAATTTTGTATTGCATACAGAATTATCTGTATGTAAATCTATATTGCATACAGAGTGTTCCAGTATTTCTCAGCCAAATGTTAAAATATTTTAGAAACAAAATTGAGCTTTCGTTTAATACAGCAATTTTTTTCAAAATTGCGCTATTTGCCCAGAAAAACTAACTTTTTATATTGCTCACATATGCATATTTTTCATGCTTATTTTGCATATGCTTTTTGCATATTTTACATGCATAAACATTCGCAGTCTATAATTTTAACAATTGTTGCACATTAAAAAAGTTCCACCATATTGAAAAAATATACAATTTTACTATTAATGTAATTCTCTGTTCATTAATTTTTACACAGAAAATTCCACAATTATGGAATAATTCAATTTCTATAAGATTTTTCAGTTCATGCATTCATAAATATAATTTATTTTTAAAAGAAATGAATGAAAATGAAACAATATGATAAATTGTCAAATAAGGAAGTTACTATATCCGAAATAATAACTCGAATGATAACAATTAATTTGTCTTTTTTGGTAAATAACTTAAGATACACGTCCGTTTATAAGTACTAGAATATTTATGTATATATAATTAAAAAATTATTAAAATTTTTAACATTAAAATTATCTTTTTTGTCATATATACATATGTAGGAACAGATAAATATCATAGAATCTAAAAAGAAATGAAGAAATTATATGTTCATATTTATAATAATATATAATACCATATTTTAATTTAATTTCCAATACATTTTTATACATTACAATACATTTATACATAATTTCCAATACATAATTTTTGCATGCGGATTTTTATGCGTATAAAATTATATATTTTTATAAATATATTATGTTATAGAAATTGAATTTTGATTTGCTTCACTCGCCAAATATTATAATAAATAACACATAAAATATTTTATATATTTTTGTATATCATTCGCTTTCTGTGGCTTATTGGATTTTTAAATTTCGTATAAATGCATAAAAATTCTCAGTCTATTTATCATCAAATTTTTCTTTTCTACAAGTTTTTACAAAATTTTAATTAATATAAATCGAAACTAATATGATATCATTGAAATTAATATAAATATCATAACAAAGGGCCAATGCCTATTAAACATTAAATAAATAAAAGATAAATATTTTGTTTGAAAGTATTATAGAAGTATCATCCTAGTATTTGTGAATAAGTTACGTATAAAATTATACAGAGAATATCACGTAGGTATTGTTAACAAATAAAAATCAAACCCGTCTGTCCATTCTCGCGTTGCAGGATTAATAACTCCAAAAAGTTCGTTGTTAGTCACTGCTTTTGGATTTAAATCGTTGTAATATGGTTTTAATTGTTGGTTGAAGTACGTTCGATTAAGCGTTTTCCAAACTTCAGTTTTTCCGGTTCCAGCGAAGCCAACAATGAAAACTGAATGACGAACATGAAGCAATTCTTCCAATTGTACAACCTGAATGAATTTAATGCAATTTTGACATTTACAAATATTTTTTACAAATTTCAAATTGAATTGAATTTAAAATCAACAGTTAATCAATTTTGGTAAATAAACGAATTATTGTCACGTTGACCAATAACATTCTTACTTTTAATATAAAGCCATCTTCTGGTTGTAATTTAAGATCCAAAATTGATTGACGAATTGTTGACTCAAAATCAAGATCTCTTTTTCGTGGAACGTCCAAAGCGGGAAACAAATCACCTATAAATATAGATTAACGCACAAAAATATACTTAAAAATATACCTCACGATTTTCGAGGAGTTTACAGCAATATTAGGGAAAAAGTTGAAAATCAAAATACTTTACTTGTACCAAATGTGCTATATATAACAACAGTGAAAAATTTAAAAATGTTTTATTTTCACTATAGATCATAAACAGAATCGTATAATTTTTTTTTTCTTATTGTATAGAAAGCAAATAGCTAAAAAATTATGTTGAAACATTTAATCAAGATTGTTTGAAACACTGTCGTCATGACACCCTCCAGTTTACTGTGAAAATAAAACATTTTTAAAATTTGTCACCTGATACATATAATTTTGGTTTACAACTTTTTCTCCAAAATCGTACAAAATATTATGTGAAACATCCTATATATATATATATATATATA